TATAAGTAAATTATAACTACAAATACAACTACCAGTATAACAACTATAACTATAATTGTGTACACACACACAGACTCACATACAAAAATGATCTCCTCCTTGAGTCAGGGGTTGGACTAGAAGACCCCCATGGTCCCTTCCATCTCTATTCTGATTAATGATGACTGGTCTCCTGCTTTCTAGCCTGGTGCCTTAACCAACTAGACCAAACTGGCTCTGTGTTGGGTGAGTTGGGCGGCTATATAAATTCCTTTTTTAATAAATCAACCAAAATAAGCCCTTCTCTCCACTGCAGGAGGAGCAAGCAAACCAGAGCATGGCCAGGTACCGGAAAACGGTGCACGAACTGGACGATGCTGAAGAGAGAGCAGGAATGGCGGAATCCGCTCTGAATAAACTCCGCACCAGGCACCGCCTCTCCACCGGCAAAACGTTCACCTCCATGGAGATCATCCAGGTCTCCAAATCCGCCAGCTCCAAGTCAGTTTCCGAGGAATAAAACCCCCCCTCTGGCCCTGTAGCTGGTAGGTATGGAATCGCCTGCCTCCCTTGGCCCGAGTGTGTGTGTTAGGATACTCATGCACAAACCCTGGTTTGTGGAAGGCTGGGCTGAAGAGCCTCCGATTTATTGATAATACGTGTTTGAACCTTGTACATTGATCTGGCCTATAGGGCTACTCAATCAGTACATAAAGATCCTATGAAGAGCAAGCGCGTTTTGCTGGGAGTCAACTATGTGGGACCTCAGCCACCGAAAAGGAAGGGATTGGAAAGATGGAGAAAGTGGGATGGGAAGTGTGTTTTGGAGATCTCAACAAGCCTCTGAGCTAGGAAGTCTTCACCTAGACTGGAGGTCCCCAAAATCTTTAGTGTCACCTTTGGAAGTCCTATTAGAATCTCCCGCTTCCTCACTGCCACATTCTTGAGCCTGGGAAAGTGGGAGGGGGAAAGTTCTTGAAGTGTATGTGGTTAGGCATAATAGCATTCTTTTTCTAAGTCAAGGTCATGTTATTTCTGCACCCGGGTGAGGGGACGTCTCAAGTTGGGACGGATGGTGATTGGGGCATGTGATGGGTGGTGATGGGTGCAGGGCGGGTGGATTTGTAGTTTTTACATATTGCAAGAAAGTCCTGAACTTTCAAGTTTCGGGATTCTACAAATGTGCCAGTTTAACTATCCAATTAAAACAGAACTTTTGAAAAGATGTCTGTCTTGGAGTTATTGGTTGGAGTGGAGGTTTTCTGGAACGCTGACGTTTATCTCATAAAGTTTCAGATTGTCTATCAACTCCCGTATTAAATATCTGTGGAGGTTTTCCATCATCCAAGTCATGGTTGTCCTAAAGGTGCTTTTTCTAGAAGCCTGATGGACTTTCTTGATTTTTTTTTCTTTGAAAATGTTTTGCTCGTCATCCAAGGAGCTTCTTCAGTTCTAACTAACAGTGAGTTAGAACTGAAGAAGCTTTTGGGATGAGAAGCAAAATGTTTTCAATTAAAAAAACCAAAGAGAGTCCAGTTGCCTGTTAGAAAAAGCACCTTTGGGATAACTCCCATATTCCTTTAACTTATAGTAGTATATCATAGAATGAACATTGGCTGTATCGATCATCATCAGTCAATTGTAAAAACAAAACAGCTTACAACCTATAGAGACAAATTTTAACATTATCAAACAACCACATCTGCCTATCCTAGGTCCTTGGGAAGGACTTCATAAGTGGATCATCTTCTTTTTAACGACCCCATAATTTATAGGTTGTAAGCTGTTCTTGCAGGGTGTTGAATGGCCGGATGCCTTTCCTGTTGCCAATGCAGAGTTTTTTTTCCACCAGATCTATTCTCATTGTGCCCAGAGAGAGAAATATCTGCCTCTACCTAGGATTGAACTCGCAGCCTCCTGATTGTGAGGCAAGAGGGACCTTTAGGAGTTTGGTTTTTGTCTTGTGCTGTTGGTTTGTCACCAACCGCTGTGCCTTCTTCCACTTTCTTCCCTCTTTGCTCTGGCTTGCCCCAGCTAAATCGCCTTTCCTTTCTAGTCTGACAGGCTAAGCATCTCAGACGGCTGCACCGTGGGAAGATTGCTCGCTGCCGTGGGGAGGACTGGAGCAGCCCGAAGACTTTTATAAAGGCACTTGCAAGGAAGTAGAAGGAGAGTGGAAGGAGGGAAGAGCTTCTTGGCCCTTTGGGGGAAGAAAAGGGGTTCGCTAACCAGCCGTCCAAGCGTCCGATGTTCTTCATCAAGAAGATGATGGCCCGAAGACAAGTTCTCAGAGTCAAGGCGTCTGTTCTGAATGCAGTTTGGTTGCGTTTTCATGTCAAGGACGGAAAACGTTAGGGGGGTCCAATTTGGGTTGTCTCTTGTAAATGCTACCCTACTTGGAGCAATCTTCATGTTTAATCTGAATAAAGCTTCATCCTTTGGAAAAGAAATTGATGGGAGTCCTTTGCTTTCCTGTCCTATGATCCCTTCCCTTCCCTTCAAAACGACTTGCAACCTGTCCTCAAACTTTATGAACCCATGGTCACATAAATCAAAATCTGAGCATGTGGCAATTAGCATGTATTTATGACACGTGATAATTATGTCACATTCCCAGCCGGCTTCCAAAAAGCTAAGTTAATGGGACAAGCCAGATTCGCTTAAATGTGTGATTTGCTTAACAACCGCAGGAAGAGATTAAAGGCTCACTTAATAACGGCCTCACTCAGCAATGGAAGCTCCGGTCCCAATTGTTAAGTTGTGGACTGTGCAGCTAGGGAGAACACAAAGTGGGGAGGGAGGTTGAGGCCCAACCCTTCCACTTTCACCTCTCCCCAGCAGCAAAATACCTTTGGAATCATAAAAGTTGTGCAATTTTTAACTGGCCCAGCTGCAAAACTTTTTAACTTTTTAAAAAATATGCATAACCCAAATCCAGCAGACAGAACAATCCTCAGCATTCAAAATTAGCATTTTTGTACCTAAATATCCAGGCTTCTAGTATAAGGCTCAGTCCCAACACTATACAACCCACACTTTTATGGATAGGTTTACACAACCATTAAACCAAACATGACTTTTTTCCCCTTTAGCACTGAATTTGCTTTATTTTCTAACTCTTGGTTCATGGCTTGAGTATAATTGATATCATGCATCATACTTTGCTTAATAAATAAGTAAACTATATGGGATAAGCCCAGTTGCTGCATATGCACAAAACAGACGTTAAAATACGAAGGAAGAAAATTCTGCAGATCATTTTGTCCTCATATATTTGAAGAAACAAAAAAAAAGTGTTTGAAAATTGCCTAGGGTGCCTTAGAAGAGTTATGGAAGAATATTAATGTTGGAGAAATCCCAAGTTAGTTTAAGCACTAGAGGTTCAATTAAACAGACTTATCGAAATGCATCAATTCATTAAATGTATTTTATGTTCTACAAATAAGAAAGTGGAATTATTTTTTTCTGGGCGAGATCCTTTATTTCCAAGGAAGGCTTGCACGGGATGGCAGTTTCTTAGACTCAGGAGGGTCCCTTCTTCGGAAATAGAAAGTGGGCTGCGTGGCCCCTTCCCCAAAATTGCAAACAGGCGCAAAAAAACCGGTTGGGAGAAACAACAGAAATCTGCACTGTGCAGCAAATGACACGTCTCCTTCCCTGTACCCATGCATTTCTCTGCGTGGGGAGAAACAACTCAGCCCCTTCTGCAAATATTGCTCCTAGGCCTTAGATTATTTCACAAAAAGAAATTATCTTGCTTTATTTTAATCTCAAGACAAACTGTGCCGGTACCATCCTCACGCCCTGGTCAACTTCCCACCCGCGCAGGCGCATTACATCACCCCGTTCTGCCTTTTTTTTTCTTTCTCCCCCAACGCAACCTCTTTCCTCGCGCAAGCGCAGTCAGAGAGGAACGCTCACTTTCCGGAACGCAGCCTTCCCGGGCGCAGGCGCCAGGAGCGCTGCCCGCCCAGTGCAGAGAGGAGGCGTGGCGGGAAAAAAGAGGTCAGAGGGCGAGGCCTTCGGTCCCAGCGCGCAGGCGCGCTATAGCACAGGTGGGGAGGTTGCGCAGGCGCAGTGGCCCTTGTCCCAGAGCCGGGCCCTACTTGGCGACCGCGCCTTCCTGTCGTTGCCGTCGGTCGCTTCTCGAGGAGCGGAGCCGCGTTGACTGACCAGAGTCCGCGAGCCCCGCTTCCCTCAGGCCCGGGAGGTGAGTGAAGGCCGGGGGGGGGGAGCGATGGAGCTTTTAGGGGGCAAAGGGGCGGCAGAGATCGTCCTTACCGGAGGGGGGGGCGCGAACCCCTTTAGGGAAGACAAATGTATGTCAAGCTCCCCCTCAAAATACTATAATTTCATGGAATGGGGCCAAAATGCTGCTCTTGGCTTTTAATAATGAGGAGATGGGGAGCTACAGGCAGCCCTCGACTTACAACCATTCGTTTAGTGACCAAAGTTACAACAGCACTGAAAAAAGGGCTATTTTTTTCACACTTACGGCCATTTTTCGCATGTATGGCAGCATCCCTCCCCCCCCACCCACCCAAGGACACGTGACTTAAATGCGGATGCTTGACAACTGACTCAGATTTATGACGATCGCAGCTGTCCCGGGCTCTTCCCCCCACCCATCCCCAATCTCCTTTGGCGACCTCCCGATGAGCCAAGGTGAACGGGAAGCCGGATTCGCTTAATGACTGAGCGGCTCAGTTTTAACAACTGCAGGGATTCCCTGAACACGGATATGGCGAGAAAGGTCGTAAAATGGGGCGAAACTCACTTAACAGCCATCTCATTTACGAACGGAAGCTTTGGGCTCAATTGTGGGCTCAATTGGGGTCTACCTGTAACACCCTCTTTTTAACGGGCCCCATAATCCCTTGCCGGGGTGGAGTCTGGGCAACGGAAGGGAGCTAACAGGATGTTTTACTGGCTGGATGCCCTTCCTGTCACCAGGGTGGAGTTTTGTTCGGCAGATATATTCTCAGTGTGCCCAAATATCCGCCTCTACCTAGGATTGAACTCACAGCCTCCTGATCACCTCTAGGCCACCACACCACTCGAGGACTATCTATATATATTGTATAAATTCTCCAAAGCAGAACTTTTTAAAAAAAAATATGCAATGGTAAATAAATGGCCCTTTTTGGATCACTCTCCCCCCCCCTTTCTATCACAAAGTGGCACCTTTAATCCTGATTTTCAGATCCCAAGAAATGGGAGGGTGGCTGTCTTAATACATTGGAAAAGCTCTAGTCATGCGATGGGTATGTTGGGGCTGTATTACTGATTGTGATAAGCCGCCTGGGAAAGCCAAGGGAAATCATCAAAACCATTAAAAAAGCAAAAGTTAAAAGACTATTTTGGACATGGGATGCGACACCTGGAAAAACATGGCATCCTTCGCTTAATCCTCCAAGGAAAGATTAAAGGCAAACGTAGTCCAGGCAGAAGAACAACATTGTGGCTTCACAATCGAAGGGACCGGTTTGGACAAAACTCAGCAGCACTTTTTCATGCGGCTGTTGATAAAAATAGGATCGTCAGCGTCCGATGACAGATATGGCATTAGAAGAATTACTAATTGTAATGATAGGGTAGGAGAGGCGAGACATCTGTCAATATAGGTCCCAGCCCATGGAAGCTGAATCTTGTAAATAAACCTACAAGAGTTAACAACCTTGCAATCCTGTTTACAAAAGGGCTTGGCCAGAAAAAAGACATTCCTGTAGTATACTTGCCTTTCTCCTACCTAGAAAGTAGGCCAGCAAAAATACTTGCTGGTTTCTTTCTATGATCGGCGTGAAGGTGGATTTCATTTTTACTCCACCTTGTAGCAGAGAAATACAGAGTTAGAGAAGAAGGGTGAACTTTTTTAAAAAAATTATCAAATGGTGGCCGCGCTCTCTATGACCTGAGGCCAAAGAATTAAAAGATAGAAATCGATCTGTCTAGACAGAAATGCATCTCCTGTTTGTGTATTTGCAGAAATGCGTAAGGCTACTGCATCAAATCCATTTTCTAGCGTTGGGAAACCCTTTGAACCATAAACTAATCCAAAGGGCATGGTCTGTGCAGCTCCCTGTCTGGGGGAGCAGATAGGCTGGGTCAGTTTGGATAGTCATTGGATGACTCCCTGTTTTATCATTACGCTGCCCTGATTATGGGCTCATTCCAGCGTATAAGAGTCACTGATTTGATGTATATATTTAGATGATTCAATTTGCTTACATTTCCAGCTGTGTATCGCCTCCACGGACTGCTTGGGGCTATGACAGCCAGTGTGATTGTGATTGTGATCTTGTGAAGGTTCTCCTTTCTTTCTCAATCTAAATTTAAACAAGCCACCTGAACACATTTTATGGTTGCAGCACCCCTGCATTGCGTTTATGGTGTGATATGTAAACACCGGCTGATTGTTGGCTTATCTTTGTTCAGACTTTTAAGATCACTCTGCCAGAATGTCCCTACACCAGTTCTTACTTGAGCCAATCACCTGCCATGCCTGGAACCGGGATCGAACACGTGAGTGTCATCATGATGGTTTGCTTTTTAAACTATGATTTCAGTAACTATTCACTTGATGTTCTGCTGAAAAGCCAGAGCTGCTAGCGTCTAAGGTTTTAGGGAGAAGATAATGTTTTTAGCGCAGAGTTGAATTGTGATGTCCTTGGTGCTGTGTGAGCTTTTTAACAGATTAACAGAGTTGGAAGGGACCGTGTAGGTCAGGGGTGTCCAACCTTGGCAACTTTAAGACTTGTGGACTTCAACTCCCAGAATTCCTCAGCCAGCTTTGCTGGCTGAGGAATTCTGGGAGTTGGTCCACAAGTCTTAAAGTTGCCAAGGTTGGACACCCCTGGTGTAGGTCATCTAGTCCAAACCCCCACCCAAGCAGGAGACCCTACACCATTTCTGACAAATGACCATTCTGACAAATGGCAGTTTCATTACCAAACTAGTTAAACAAAATCAGTGCACAGCACTGATTATGTTACTTACCGTAGTTGGGTAATGAAATGTGTGCAAGAAGGCCACCAAGCTCAGAGAGCACCAAGGGCCCCACAACTGAGGTTGTGTTTAAGCCTTTTTTGTGAGGGCAAAACAGTTGGGATGGTGTGTAGGAGGGGAAGAACAGAGGGCTGTTAAACCTCTTCACTCTTGGCTACTTTCCTCTCGAGACACCTCGAGTTCTTTGTTGCACGCTTCTGATGTAAAGACAGGTCCCCAAAGTGTGCAAAAAGTAGAAAGCTGCCCCTTCCCTCTTTCACTGCTACAATTTTTTTCATTGCTCGAGTTTATTCGTCAGCGTAATCCAGTTTTACCCTTCTGGCAATTCTTTTCACCAAGACATCTTCTGCCGAGTTGATCTTCAGCTTCTGTTTGACATCTTTGGCGTCTTGCCGTTGTGTTTTCTTTTTATTTTATATTCACTTCCATGCACCTTACATGCATT